CGAAACGACTGATGTTCGGCGAACTGGCAGGGGGGGAGAAGCGACGTAGGGGGGGACAGGAACAAAACTGGCCGAAGTGTGTGCTCGACGACCTGAAGGCATTCGGGGCCGACCACGGATCTACGAAACCGATCCATGTTGTTTCGGAATCCTGGTACCGAAAGACACGGCACCGAAGTTAAAGTGGACGGAAGCCGCGAAGGTAGAGGGGGGAGTACCCTGGCATGCGCGGTGCTGCAGGGAGCTGAGAGGTTTATGACCTCCTGGCACGAGAAGGAAGAAGAGGCCAGCCGACAACGGGCGCTCAAACGAAACCACAAGCCACCAACCAAAGGGGCGGGAGGGGGGCCGGAGACGGACAAGACGGCGAGGGAAGAGAGCAAACGAGAAGAGACGGACCGAGTGGCGCGATACGTGCCGGATTGAATTTCTTTTAGCCAATTCCCCCCCCCCAACGCTGCACCATTGCACCAACCCCCCACTAGTGATGACGTACCATTACAATGTATCGCTGGTTGGTGGCCATGTTTGCGTGTTTGCTTGTCGTTAGTGGTCTCTCCACCGTGTGCCTTTTTCTGTCTCTTATTTCTGAATTTGCCAAATATGGTACGCTTTTCCCCTTTGGTTCTGGTTTGCGATGGCGTCCTACAGGTCAGGAGATGGGGCCTCCTCTGGCGCCCCATGGTCGTTCGCATCGAGAAGTTGGAGCACGTGGTGAACGCCGTCGTTCGCCTGCACAACTTCTGTCGGGATCGAAAGGTGGACGTCCCCACGGAGAACACGGGGTCTGCGATTCCTCCGCCCGAGGTCGCTTTTGACGACGACGGCCTCATCAGCAGCGACTACTTCGAGACCGTTCCAGTGCCTACCGGGCGCCCGGTGAAGGACCAGGCTAAGGCGTCGAAGCAGAGGGAGGCCATCCGCAAGGAGCTAGAGGTGGCCGGCTTGATGAGGCCAGAGCACAACATCGCCAGGAGCCACAACCGCGCAAGTTAGAGTGCTGTCGGAAACTTGAACANTGACGACGACGGCCTCATCAGCAGCGACTACTTCGAGACCGTTCCAGTGCCTACCGGGCGCCCGGTGAAGGACCAGGCTAAGGCGTCGAAGCAGAGGGAGGCCATCCGCAAGGAGCTAGAGGTGGCCGGCTTGATGAGGCCAGAGCACAACATCGCCAGGAGCCACAACCGCGCAAGTTAGAGTGCTGTCGGAAACTTGAACATGGCAGGGAGGGGGGGTCGAGGGCGAGAGCGGGAGTGGGGGGCAAGAGCGGGGTCAGGACCGGCGGCTGACGTGGTGTGTGTGTATCGCGGGGATCGGGGTGAGGGTCATGTGCGGTGGTGTGTGTGTTGTGTTGTGTTGTGTATGTGTGTTTTTCCCTATGGTTTTGAGGCGGCATTGTTCGGTGGGCGTTTCACCGGCTTACGCTTTCTTCTTTTCCCACGTGCTGGGTTAGGATCCGAATATTAACACGTCCTCCCGCCATCGAAGGTGTTTTTTGTCGAAGCGGTCTACCTCGTATTCAGCGACCTATTATTGGAGTGTCTTTGGGCGTTCGACATGGACTACATGGCTGTCAACGTAGACTGTTTCCTCGCCAAGATTCGTTTCTGATTGAAACTGCCTTTTGGGAAGCATACGTGATTGTGAAACTGTGGATCGGGGCCAAAGTGCCGTTGAAGCAGCTGGCGCTTGTTTTGTTGAGGATAATGTTGCCTAGAGAGAACGTTTGAGGACGACCGTGAAGCACTAATGGTGATTTACGAGCGTGAGCGAAAAGATTTGAAGCTCTCCAGGAGGGGGTTCGGTCCTCGCGCACGCCCCCATGTGGTTCCATCTGTGTAACCACGCCACTCCTGCCCTTGCCCTGGTGCATTCCTCGTACAGCAGTACTAGGCGATCAGAGTCGGCTTAGACAAAGGTACAAGCAATCCCACGAAAAAAGCTGCTCACCCAACAAACCGGGTAACCTCCAACAGAGCTGCACTGTCCTAACTCCATGCCATTCTCGGACATCAAATCTCTCTGGTGTCCGTAAAAACAAATACACACACACGCTCAGAAGAACAGCCTCTCACAGGACCTTTCCCCAGCAGAGCACAAGCAAGGTCTCGGTGACAATATGATCCTATAGCCTCCCCCATGCTGCCCCCTCCCGGGATACCAGTTCATTGCACATAAGATAGTCTAGATTTGTTATTTTTGTGATTTCAACCGCACTAAGATTGGCGTGTTTTCATTGATCAGCCGGTTAGCGCGGTCGATGCCAATTTAAAACACACACATTGACATGGATGGGTTCTTCTTCCCCTCCCTGTAGGCGATCGCCTAAAACCCTGAATAAAAAATAAAAAACGCCGTTCCTGAAGTTTGAGGTCGCCAATTCTAGCCGATAAAATCCACGGTGCCACCCTGGGGGACCTCCGGGAGACTACAACGCCAAAGGTATCACCAGAAAAACATCGCCGAAAATCGATATTTGGCTCAACGAGAAACAAACGAGAAACAAACATAGGTAATAATCAAACGCCGAACGTCGGCGACGAAAAGTACTTTTTTGCACCAAAATCGCCGATTTCCTTTGAAATTTCCGTGAAACGCTGAAAAAAAGAGAAAAAGGTCGCCTACGGAGCAAAAAAAGCCCAAAGTCTGTCCATCGAGGGGGGTATTTTTCCTGTCCATGCTCCCCCCTACTGCTGACAACAACTGGCAAGCTTTGTGGAGAAGGTCTTTTGGTTATGGTTGGCTTGTGCAAGTGTTGTAGGCAAGATGATTATGTCATGATGAGCACTTCGCACAATTCCAGTTGTCGGTGGATGGCGTTGCTGGCCGCCAAGTTGAGACTGCGTGGAATTATATATCCCCGTTCGCAAGGTTTCAGGTTGCCGCTGCACCACAAACCCTTCCTAAGTGTCCGAGTGGCCACTCGTGAACAACTTGGTTTTAGAGAAAAGACCGGAGACCGCCTAATCATTAATCTAATCCCAAGTGAAGCACAGAGTGGGATCGCTTCGTCAAGTCACTTTTTGGTGGGGTCAAAATCGAACATAGGTCTGAGAATTTCTACCAAGACCGATACTGAACACATCATGAGTAGAGTTTATGCCGACAGAAAGCGACAACGCTCGAAAGTAAACCGTCTCAGGATTCTGTTGGTAGTAGTATGGAAAGGCTCCAGGCGAAGAAAGCCGGTTCATCGTCAAAATCCCCCTTGCAAAGTGCTTCGTAAGTGGTTGGCAACAGCTCACGATTATTAATCGATTGGTGCCTTGGCCAAGACCACCATACGTTGAAAAAGCAGCAGGAAGGAGGGTAGATCTAGACGGGTTGAAAGTTCCCGCATAGTGGTTTGCCTTACTTCAGCTTGTGTGTGTGTACCTCTCTCGTTCGAGATAGTGAAACAACCAACCAACCAATGGCAAGCGTTTCTCCCCACCTCTCGCTGCCGCCGTTAGCTAAGCAGCAGCGGCAGTGTTATATTGGTCACACCCTCCCGTCTCCCTCCTCCCTGCTGGAGTCTGTCTCCCTTCACCCTTGCCCATCTCTCTGCGATGACATTTTACCAGCCGGTTACCAGCAGCGGCAGGCGAAGAGAATAACCTGGTTCGACACAACAACGTCTCCCCCTCGGTCTCGGGGACGCGTGAGTCCGACACATACATATGTTCCGCACACGTCAATGCGTTCGTACCTAAATGCGCTGAGCACGGATTGAGCGGGAAGCTATTGGGACAAGTTGGGCACAAGTCTTGGAATGCAATTTGGTGCCTACACGGTAAAATAGCCTCCAGTCTGCTGGGTAATGATCGAGGCTAGTGACAGACAGACAGACACGCATGGTCCATTTTTTCACGCCCCCTCTGCCATTATTTTTTTTTTAGCGCTACAGGTACATCACGATCCCTTCAAACATTTTTTGGAAAACCAAAAGCACCCCTATGGGCCGCTCCAAACAAAATACTACCATGATTCGCACAAAAAACTGGTGTCCTCGTAGTAAGCGTATGGTGCATGATGCATGCCTCTTGGACAAACAAGTTGAAGTTCCACTCTGGCCAATCCACGTGGGTGAAGGCACAGTTATGGAAATCAAATCGCGTTGAATTCTTCGTGAAAGAGCACATCACTATGGGCAACTCCGATGCCTCAGTCTTCAACCACGGTCGTTTCCGCACTGGGCATTAGTCTCCTGCCACTCCAACGCCAGTTGTTCCTTCGTGTATCGCTTGTTACGGTACGCCGAGTCTGCACCGGTCCTCCTTTGCACGTACTCCTCCAACGACTTGCTGCGGTAGTGTCGAATACGGAATGCATCGGGATCCAGCCATTCATACGGACAGCTCAAGTTTCTGCAGTACGATAAGAGGGTGCAAGTGGACGGGGCAAGTTGAGAGCGATGCTGACGTTGCAACACATGCCCGCAATGTTCTAAGGGGCTGAACGTGAGGACCTGCGTCCTGGAAAATACTGACTGCCAGAAAAGTGCGGTTTGGGGGCACAACACACGCCTATACTCATATCTCAAGAAATTAGGGGCCCACACAAAATAATCCAACCTCAAGCCAAGACGAAGGTCAAGCCTGGGTAAAATTGTACCTTCGGTACTGCAGGGTGACATCTTCTGTGGCGTACAGCAAGAAGTGCGGTCCAATCTTCCGAAGTGTGAGTGATTCCAACGCCCTGAAAAGCGGTTTTTGCATATGGATCTTCGGCTCTCCCATATCCTTCGTTGGGGCACACATAAACGGAGAGAAGAGCAGAATGTCCTTGAGTGGTGAAAAGCACGCCACCCTCCCTCTGACCACACCCTGGGGTGTTTCGTTCCCCATATTTCAAATGGTATTGACAATTCGACGGCCTTCCTCGCTGGGCGTTCGGTATGAGACCAACGATTGCCGGGACAATCAGGTTGAACTTCAACCATTCCATCTCGACAGGTTGCAGGAATCTAAGCAGAGGCTTTGTTGCCATTGCCAATATGTATGAACCGCAAAAAGTGGAAGAGTGAAACCAAAACCACAGCCGCAACGTGACGCAACTGCGCACTATTCATGATGAGGTCGCGGGAATCACGCAGAGCCGTCCATGCGTTCATGATAAAAGTGTCGGATCTATAATGCATCGCTTGGACGTAAGTTGATTAATCGCGTAAGCAGGCCGGGGGGTTCTTCAACGGTTTTGGTCCGGCCGAAACTCTTCTTGCCGTGATGCAGCAGCAGAGGGCGATTACAGCTGGCTCCTCGGTGCCGCGAAAAGGCCTCCCTGTGATCCCACGCCGAGAGTTTCGAAGGGGTCGTGGGTTCCTTCTTCCAAGACGCTCCAGCTGAGGAGCAAGCGCCCCCGTTTCCAGGAGGAGAAGCACCAGCGGGCAGGAGGTGATCCGTAACCGTAACCCTAACCCGATCTGGTAGCTATCCATGAGCGGGCTTGATAGAAGCCAACGAGAACAACCAACATGTATGATGAGATTGTCCGCGAACCGACGCTCATCCCAACAACATGTACAACGTCGGCCGCCAGGGAGTTGCATCATCAGCAGTAAACTGCAGCAGCAGCCCTGACTACGCTCTTAGCATTCGATCAACGGCGCGGAATTGGCACTCCGCTGCCGCTTGTGCTCCTGCTCTGTGCCTGGTTTCCCTCGTGTCGGGGAGGGGAAAAATTTCCCGCCGCCCAGAAAAATGCCATCGATTCTCAAGGCAATCTTGTATCTCAGGGAAATGATACCCCAGAAAATAGAGGTGTTCTTTTGTTCGGGACGGCGACCCGTACAAACAGCCGGTGCAGGGGGCGTTTGGGCGCCGACCGTGCGGCCGCCGGGGGGGGGGCGGCGGCCGCCGGGGCGGTCCGGAAATGTGCCGGGGACCCGCACGCTCCCGCGCCACGAGAACCCGGAGTGTGGACGCGCAGCTCCGCCGCGGGGGAGGAGGCTGCAAGGGCAAACAATATACCATTGTTTTTTCTCTCGTACCTATCTGCGCACCAGTTTACACCAATCGGGAAACGTTTGACGCACCAGCTGTGGCCAGAGTGATTCTTCACAATCCTCTTGCCGTGTAGGGTTCAGCTGCCCGTCCCTCCTTGTGTCTTATCATAACAATGCCATTTCTACGCGGAATTCCATTTTTTCTCGCTCAGGCCAGACCCGAACCAACAACGATAGAGCCAGCCTTTTAACGCAGGTAAAAACAAATCTACGGCAAGATTGCCAAGATTCGAAACCTCCTAGATTTGCCACCCAAAGTCTGCGAGGACACCTGTAAACCGCGTAGAGAATGCAGCGCGCAAACGGCTTTGTTTTCGACTGACATTCAGTGACTCACCTCAATTTCATGGTAATTCTCAATTATTCCACCTGGCGGCTTCGACACTTGTCCGCGAGAACAGTAGTTGACCCACGCCATGCAATGTGTATGTCGCCTCGGTATCGATTGCTCCAAAAGGTGTCGCAATCGTCTGACATGCAGGGAAAGTTTCAATGTTGTTTTCCATCCAATCACATATGGTAGCTTCAGTTTTTGACCATTTTCATCACCAAAGATGTCGATTAACTGTGAAGACTTTCGAGCTCGGATGAAAACTTGGTAGCGACCATGGACGTTGGCGCATCTCATCAGTAGAATCCAACTCCGCACCAACACCTGAGCAAACGTGCGCTCACACCTCCAACGACAAACGTAATAAAGCAGACGCTGCTTACTTTCGTCGTGCCGACATATAGCCATCAACGAACTCGAATCGATGAGCGTCCAACTGGCGGAGATTTCCTTCCACGGAATCCATTTTTCTCCTGAGTGGCAGGCCTGGCGCAGGGTCGATAAATTCGTCAACATCGATGAATGACATCCACCTGCCCAGCGAGAAAGAAAAAACGAGGGTTGAAAACTACGAAGGTACCCGCTTCACTGGGGGTTCTTTGAAGTGTCAGTTGTGGCTTGCATTACGAACGGCATGGAAAGGTACGATATTGTGCTGCTGTGTACTGCGTAAGACTCCAACAAGAAAACAATCCCGGTGAGATGCGTCTTCACGAACGCGTAAAAGATAGGATACATATCAATACGACTTGGCAAGAATACTGCTGTTGCTGCTGCTGCTGGCTGCGTTACGATGATGGCATCACGACGAAGAGAAAATAGAACAACGAAGAAGGTGGTGCTGACGCTACTGCAGTGTGTTTTCTTTTGCCGCCATGTCTCGGTACGTAAGACGGCAGCGTCACGAATGCTTGTCACGTACCAGTACATACAAGCACAACAAGAAAAAAAAAAAGATCTCCTCGTCAGCTGTATGATATAAATTCAGAGCGAAGTCCATATGAGATTCAGAGCCAGAACAATTGTTTGGAACACGTAAGCTTTGATATTTCTGGAGAAAAGTATACGTCTACTCTCCTTCTGAACCAGCTACCCCAGATGGAATTTCCAGCAGTCACAGTATTTCCGGCAGTGTTAGCAAAGGTGCAGAGCAAAGCAGACCGTGCACACGGTGGAGGTTGGAGTTGGGACATACGTACACAGCAGTAGTTGGTAAGCGGCATGCATCCAGCCCGCGGGTTGTCAGCCAAGAAAAATCCAGAAAACAATATCATCAGGCGCTGGTTTGATCATAGTAGCCCCGGAGTCCCCCGGCCTCATCTGAAGCCCTTTCTCTTTTTCCCGAGGGAGGCTATGTGCGTATGCGGGGTCGAGGATGACGTACTTGGGGGCGGTGATGAAGATCATTGTTGAAGTCTGGATGGATATGAGAGTCCGCCCATCCATGTGAAATGAAAGAAGGAAGGAAGCATCATTCCTCCCCGTTCATGACTCAACCCTCCAAGACCCAGTCCCTCCGCAAAAAAAAATGCCGAATAAAGGTTTGTCAGTCATTGGTCGAGGGGCTACAGTCCCTTCAAATAATCTTTGACAGACAAAGGGTGACTTGGCTTCAGTATGAAAAGTGTACCCAAAACACGTGGGGACCCACTTGTGATACTGTAGCCTAGTCAACAAAGTTTTCCTGTACCAGGGGACGTACAGTTTCACGACCAAGGGGGCACGCGGCTTGGGAGATGCGCACAGCAAGTCAGCGGCCCAGGACAGGCATCACACAGCATAACCCACAAGTATGGTAGACCAAGGGTTCTCACGCGCGTTGCCCACAGCGAAGCCTGGGGTGCCTACAGTGTGATTAATAGGCATTTGAGTGCTGTGTCCCCGAAATGTCCCCGTTTGGGCTTCCAGTACAAGGAGGTTAAAACCCGCTCGACGTTCGCATGAGTAATATTTAGAGCAGACAGAAAGACAGGGGGCCGTCGGCCGTGACCATGGTATCCATGGTCGGCAGTAATTTCGGCAGAGACGGTAAGGCCACTCTTTGACGGGTAGACGGGGAAGCATTGATTAAGCGCCGCAATTACACCGGTCGACAAATACGGGAGAGAACGACCGAGGGCGGCCCCGATGGGTTAGCCGGCGGTGTGAAAGCGAAGCTTGTGGAATTTCCCTGTTGATCGTCCCGGCACATAATCGCAGCACGACGAATACAGTACCGCAAACACAGGGCAAACCGCAAAATAAACCGGACATACAGGCAGACGTGAAAGAAAGGGAGTCCGTCCAGGCGAGGAACGCAGCACGAAATCCTGATACACACGTCTACCACGTAGTACCAAAATACGGCGACGAGGGGAGTGGCCGCGGCAAGGCGAGGAGCGTAGATCATGGACGCAAGTGTAAAGTGGACTCAAGACCGAGGAGGCAATTGCACTCGAGAAAATGAAGTCGAAATAAACGCGCGGAAAATGCAGTCCGATAAGACAAAAGAAGGAAATCAGGTAGAAAAAGCACGGGAGTTCAACATTGGGCAAGACGGGTAACGGTCTGCCCAGCTTATGAAACCTCGTGGAGTCGAGGGCTACGATACGTCAACCAGGTACTAGTCAAGGTCGAGCGAGGAGAATGAACGCGACAAGAAAGGCCACGCGCGAAAATCTGTAAAGGACGCGCAATAATTAATGGACTCAAGTCGAATCAGACGAAAAGCAGAACGCCGGAAACAAGAGTGGTGGCGAGAGAACCATCTCCTTCGTGGCCAGTGATACCCGTGGGAAACATATGCATTCCGACTAGGCGAGGAAATACTATGATTCCCCACTAGGTAAGTACGCAAGGACACGAAGAATTTGGAAAGCAGGATAGGGAAGAAGGGGCGAGGGTTACGAAAGGGCAAGGAAGTTTGGCGAGGTGAAAATCAGGTCCTAAAAAAAAGACAGCGAAGAAAAACGAAATTGGACGCAAGTCCGTTCGACAGAACTGCAGTAGTACGGGCCAGCAGATAAGACACATTAAATTTGGGTCTAAGGATCAGCCGAAGTCGTCCGTTTTCTTGAAATGCATTTCTTATTCCTTTCCAACGTCGCAACCTCTCAATCCTCTTATTTCTCACTTAGTATATTTTCCTATTTGGATAAAGAATACAAAGCAACAAAGGCCCATCATGCCGCTCAACTAACCAGAAAGAAAGCTCGATGCGGCTATTGGCGTGGCGAAATAACTACTCTCTCCAAGCTACCAAAAAAATGCCCTGTTCAGCTAGGTAGGGGGGTGGGAACACGGAAGGAGCAGCAGTGGGACGTTTCTTGTGGGCCACGTTTCTCCAGCTACCCCTTGTTTCTAAAAATATGCCTTGGGGGTACCGCACCATCCTGTTTCTTATTGGGACGTTTCTTGCGTTGTGGCCGAGATTGATCTGTGTTTATTAGGCTTTTGTCTTCTTTTTCGTACAAATTTTAGCCTATTTTTTAAACAGAATTTTTCTTAACTGCGGGCCCGTACTGTAATGTAAGGCTTCTTCCCTTTGTCCTACTTAGAAGAGGAACCGAACTTGAAAACGGGTTTACGAGGTCGTCACAGTACTTTTCGACGAATGCACGGTTAGCGTGCTTGAGCTTATTTCGGCGCACTGGCGCAGCGCACGGCGCTACGCCCGGTGCCGAACCTCCGGAGTTGTACGGTGGTCCAGCATTTAAAACACCCGATACCGCCGGCTTTTTCGTCGACTGGAGCCCTAGCGTGTTCCGCAGTGATTTGTAGTAAATGATGTGGATACAACGTGTCCGCAGTCCCTCGGTATGATGGCGGCACACCCATACGTGTCAATACACACGTGAAAAGCACATCTGGTACGGTGTAGCAGAGGGCAGCATCTGTAGACAGTTCTTGTGTGTTCTACGACTCACTTACTCGTGTTCCGCAGTGAATGGAATCTAAAAAAAACTGTGCAGTGATAATTGTAGCAAATTACAAGGCGTCCCTCCGGAGTGGGGTAAAGAGAGCACCGTGGCAGGGGGTGATGCGAGAACATGCAAAAAGCAAACGGAGATATAGATGAAACGAGTTCGCATTGTTCGCTCCTTCCACACTCCGCATTTGCCGTTTTTCTGATGCTGCGTCTTCCACCGCCGCGGTCTCCAGGCCGTCAAACGGCTTCAAATTCATCAAAGCCGTATTGTCGCCCAGGAAACGCGCACACGCACACTCGCCACAGGCGGGCGGAGAATCGTTGTATTCGCGCGTTTAGCATGCAAACAGTATATTGTAGGGCAGCGACCGTGGCATCATCATGGTGTGTGTTGCACATTCCGGAGAAAAGAAGAGGCCACATGGATGTGCATGTATTTTTTGTGAAGCTGGGACGAATCGAATGAATCCACCGACAGGAGCGGAGTGTGCGTGTGTGTGTGGTATTCAAACATTCAAAGAAAGATGGACAAGTCTACACGTTTGCAGACACAGCCAAACTATCACGCAGTACATAGTCCTACATACATTTACACGCATGTCTGCACCCACTACGACCGGGGGGGGGGGGGGGGG